GTCCATCCACAGTATGCCCCCCGTCTCCGTCCTCCTCCTGTTCCTCCGCCATGCCGCGAGGCTTCCTTGGGAGCCGGGCTGCGAAGAAAAGGAACTGCCCTTCACTTGAGCACTGGATGCTGCGGACGGAGCGGCTTGTGTCACTCTGTGTCGGTGACTTCTCATTGACCTTTGGGTGGGGGGGGTGCAGGGGCATACTAAGCAAAGGTGGCTCCCATGTTGCAGGTGAATCATCATTGGTTGTTGCTTTTCTTCTCTTCTTTGGGGGGGCTCATTGAGCCAACTTCGACGATGACATCAAGCAAACCCGGAGCAGGCTTCAAATTACAGGAAGCATAGTTGCCTTTCATGGCCCATCCTCCACAGAAAAACGTCCAACTTCATTTCTCCCGGGGTGAGATTTGGCCCCACGACCCCACGAACACACCTGCAACATCCCAGGTTGCCCTCAAAACCGGGAGGTTGAAGGGAAGGAATTCAACAAAAAGAAACACCTCCCACCCACCCTCATTTTCGCGTGCGAGATCTGAAAATGCTTCTTGGGACGACGTCGTGAACAACAAAAATAGAGCATGCGGAAACAACAACTGCAACATGTGCTTCTCCGCCGCCTGGGAAAAACGAGGACATATTTCTAGTAGTGGGATTGATCCCCTTTAAAACCAGGGGGAAAAACATATTCATTTCAGAACCTGTAAGACATGGGGAACCTAAAAGGTCAAAAAGGTCGACTTTGGGCGAGTGAGTTGTCCAAAGCATCATTAGTAGCCCCTTGCTTCTTCAGAGCTTGCTTCCATTTGCTTAAGCCCCCTGATTTTTTCCAGCAGTGCTAGATTTTCCCTTTGAAACCGAAAAGGGAACATAACAAATAGTCTTAAGCAAAAGGAAGCATGTTATACATCAACGCTGCGGGTTTCGAGCTCGTTATATCTTGCGAAAAGTCGACTTGTTTGTGAATCCAATGTACCCTGTTGACTAACAAAACCTAAGCACATTTGCGGGTTGACCAAAAGGTCCCCACCAAAAGTTACCCATGGCCATTTGGTGGCCAGGAATATTGACCGACCAATATACAATGTCCCAACCAAAGGGGCAAGTGCCTGTGCCGAAGCCAAAGGGATCGACCAATGTGAGCCACGGATCAATACAAAACCCTGCTGAAAAGCCGCCAGCACATCTCCACAAAATCCAAACAGGTGATGCTTAAAACCACAAAACATCAGCCTTCCCCCTAGGTGATGCGGTTTAGCGGCTTGGAATGGTTTTTTTTTTTGGGGGGGTAGGCCCTACAAGATTCAGGGTTTCAAATCCAAATCTAAACCACCAAGTAAGGCCAACCTGCCAAAACCTGCAAACTTCCAGGACCCACCTCCCCACCCACCTCCCCCCCCATCTGCCCTTCCGCGCCATCCAGCGCGGGGCCCAGGTGACGCGCAAGGTCCAACGGCAGCTCCATGACGCCTGGGCTTCCGAACCGACGCAGGGGCTCCCGAAGTCCAAACTCCGTGCCCCCAAAATCAGCTGGTTGCTTGGAGCGGGAGAAACCGGCGCCAAGAAACCACCAAAAAAGAAGTGTATGCACTTGCCGCTGGGAACTTTTGACAAACTTTCCTCTTCCAAAACCTGGAAGAGTTGGATCTCCAGGTCTTCGTGACTCTGCGGAACCGAACCGCTCAGTTTTTGATTCGCTGGGGACTTGGCACGCCAGTCATTGGGCCGGCTGTCAGTTGCCGGAAAAAGGGCCTTTCGGAAACCGTGCTCCAAAGGACCCGCCTGGTCGCTTCCTTGCCATTCAAGGAATTCATGATACTTCAAGGGGATCCATTCTGCATTGCAAGAAGTTCCCACCCCGAAACCCAGGAAGACCCCTCTAACAATGGCATCGTGAGGTCGGTGTCGCACCGGGTGACGGCGCTCCGCAGATAAAACAAAGAGGCAACCAGCACGCAGCGTGGACGCTGCGGACAGCCCGAAGCTCAGGAAAAAGGCAAGGAACATGGCCCAAATGGGGAAAATCCATCTCTCCCTGGAAAATGGATGGCACAAAAACCCAACCCGCAACCAGTGGAGCCCGTATAGTAACTCAGAGTAACCTGCAAAGGAGACCCATGAGCGGGATCGAAGAACCTGAGCCGGGAATTCCCAGCACACATGTTGGGAATAAGAAACCAAAGGAGAGCTTGCTTGACCAGCATGTGAGATCGCCCCATTTGTCAGCCTCTGATACGTCGGGAGGAAATTCCGCAGCACCCGGCTGGAGGTGCCAGAAGCGACGTTGCAACCAGTGCAACCCGCGACCCAATCGGGACAAGAATTGAAACTCTTTGTAAGACCTCCAACATGAGGGCCGACCTAAAAGACCTCAAAAAGTAGGGTGGGACCCCGGAAAGTGCCTACGGAACTGGGAACAAAAGGTTCGGAGGGTACCGGCACTTTTTTTTGTCTTTTTTGACCCCCGGACATTTCCACAAGTCATTCAGACTGGAACCCCAAAACTGTCGTCCCAGAGAGCAACATCCAGGAATCTGAAAGAAACACCCCAAACCCTGACATACTGTGGATGGACTGCATCACTTTGGAGCCATGGGAAATCATTGTTTGTTGGTATTTAAAGGGAATCATCATGCCAGGGTTTCTTAGGTGGTGCAAAATGGATTTCGTCCATCCACAGTAGTTCTACCCTCAACTACAAGGCCTTCGTCATGATCAGCTTGTCCTTGTCTCCGGGTCAACTCGCCCTATAGACATATGGATTTGTTGGGCCCCGAGCGGTAGGTGTCGGGCTCCATGATGCCTGGAAGGAACATCCTCAGATCTCAGATGGGCAAAGCCTGCAACGAGTGCCATCTGCTTCTAACCGAAGTATAAGGACACCTATGGATCGTGCTCTGTGATTGACAGCAAGAACCTGCTGCAAAGAAAGGGAAAGGAGGAGGCGGCAGTGAAGAAATCAAAAAAAAACAATAAATCATTAAATAAATAGATGAATCAATAAATCAACCAACCAAGCAATGAATCAGCAATAACACAATCAGTCAATAAGTCAATCAAACGACCCTGGGGTTCGTAGTGTGGTAAAGTGATTCTGATTTGGGTCATCCAAACGCCCTTTTGTGTTTTGAAGCTGGTCATGCATTTCCAGCCCCCGTATATTTGACACATGGTTTTCTCCTTGGCTTGGCGCAATGGTTGGTCATGAGCGTTAAGATTCGCAGGATGCAAGACTCGCTGGTGCTCAGCCCTTCCACAGGAGTTGTGAGACTTCATGGTAACGGGAGTTGTAAGGCTTCCATCCAACCATCCAACCAACCAACCAACCAACTAACCAACCAGTGGACCAGCCCTAGTTAAAAAACACAAACCGTCCTGAGGGAGGAAACAAGTTTTTAGACCGGATCCGCGGCTTCCTCTGGGCGACAAAAGAACCCAACCCTTGGTGAACTGCTTTTACCACGTGGAGCACCCGCGAAGGCATGTGACACGGGGTTTCCGTCGGGCAAAATTCACTGTTGCCTTAAAACAGCCCCCCCCCCCCACAACAAACAAGACAGAAGAGGCACTAAGCCCGAAATCGGGCGAAAACGAGGGGCAAGCCGGAAGGTGGTTCAATATGCTCAGCACTGGGATCTTGCTCCTTGCCACTTGGGTGAACAAAAAATGAAACTGGGGACTCTCCTGTGGACATTAGGTGGGGATTATCTAGGTCTTCCAGTAGAGAGGTTAGAATAAGGGCACCCTTTCTCTGCAGTCTGGGAACCCCAAAAAAGGGTAAAAGCGCACCACTGGGGGACCTAGTTAATGTCCACCAATCACTTGGGAGGGCACTCCTCATCACACAAATCACAGCCACTGGCCCGCAACATGGCGATCCCAAAACAGGCCGACCCTTGGCTACTTGATCACCCTGTGACCCAAAATCTCGGAGGAACATACCGCCAAATCGCGGGAGATACCTTGGAGTCATCATGTTCGCCTTCCGGGGCTCTAGTTGATGACTGCGAAGAGTTGAACTGCGACCATGTCTATGAGCAAGGCACCTGAACCGGACTTTTGCCATCAGCTTCTCTTCAAAGCAAAACGATCGAGGCGGCTGCAGCATGGCACAGCCAACCCCAATTTTTGGACGAGCCAAGTGGCTGTTTCAGCAAGGTACCTCGGTGGCGAGCAAATTGCATCAACCCTGAGGCAAATCGGACAACCAGAGCTGGTTGCCATTCACGCAAACTGTCAGCTGGAACGCTCAGCAAATGACTAAATGGTTTTCTCTCCAACAGGGTATTCAGGGGTCCCTGCATTTCCCCCTGAAAAGTTGCAACCTACTGGTGATTTCCATTGAAACTGCCACTTTTGGAGGTCCCGAAAAGGGAAAAAGGAAACCCTAGTATTCCCTCCCATTGAGTTGGCATGTGCAGCACTAAGCGAATGCTCACAGCGACACCGCTGACTTGCCGAATACAAGCGAGCACATTTAGCATAGACTCATGCGGTTTGATTGATTGATTGATTGATTGATTGATCGATCGATCGATCGATTATTTGATTGATTGATTGATTGATTGATTGATTGATTGAGTGATTGATTGATTGATTGATCGATTGATCGATCGATCGATCGATTATTTGATTGATTGCTTGATTGATTGATTGATTGATTCATTGATTGATTGACAGACTTCCTGCTTGCTTGCTTACTGGCTTGGTTGTCATTAAAGCAGCCACCCCTCATGGTGAAGCCCCTGAGGGACCCTGCTCCCAGTTTACCATTTTTGTTAGGCTCAGAACCATCGCCCCTCAAAACACAGAAGTGGCATACGCCAAATTGCCGTGCGGGGTCCGTGTTGTGCTCGCCTTTTTCTGCCAAGGAAAACTTCCATTTGGCTAAGACCCCCGGAAAATAAAAATAACAACATATGTCCAGTAGTGATACATTCCTTTCAAAACCAAGGGAACATAAACAAATATTCTTAAGCAAATGGAAGAAAGGCTGGTAGCTTGGAGAAACATGGCATCCGTGGGGAGGCACCTGCTAGACATTTCCTCTAGAGACCCACT